GTGTAATAAAATGCCTCCGACGGGATTCGAACATGCGACCTCTCACTGACAAGGCTTAATAATAAGTTAAACTTAATAATAATTTATATATGGTAAAAGTTATCAATATTAAGTAAAGGTTTTTGAATTTCATTGTTTTATATATGAAAAATAAGTTAAAATAAATTAGACAATGTTTAATCCAAATATTAGGAGTAATTCGCATGTTTTTTTTTGCCTTTCAGCAATTCCAGTAATAAATGAGGGTATGTACTTAATGTTTTTATGCTATATGCTTAAAGTTATGAAAAGGCGAGCGTCATAACCACTAGACCACGAAGGCTTCATGGTTGAACAGCTCCAAATAACCGTCGGGAACATTGTATTACACAATGCTACCCCTCAAGAGGGCGTTCGGCCAGATAAATCTGGCAATACGGCTAGGAATACTGTCGTATATTATATATGATATTGATGGAAGTTAGCCTTTAACACTGTTGAATGAATATAATATAAATCCTCAAAGGTACATATACAGTGTTTAATAAGGACATGATTGAACATCGTAGGCTACCCTGTAGCTTTTTAACGAATAAAGTCCTATAAAAGTCATTGTGTAATCAAATGCCTCCGACGGGATTCGAACCTGCGAACTCTCGCTGACAAGGCGAGCGTCATAACCACTAGACCACGAAGGCTTCAATGTTGAACAGGTCCAAATAACCGTCGGGAACATTGTATTACACAATGCTAGGCCTCAAGAGGGCATTCGGCCAGATAAATCTGGCAATATGGCTGGGAATAATGTCATATATTATAATATGATATTGAAGGTAGTTAGCCGTTAGCACTGTTGAATGAATCATCAAATGTACATATACAGGGTACGCTCCTTAACTTAATAATAAGTTATATATGGTAAAAGTTATCAATATTAAGTACTGTAAAGGTTTTTGAATTTCATTGTTTTATATATGAAAAATAAGGTAAAATAAATTAGCCAATGTTTAATCCAAATATTAGCAGTAATTCGCATCTTTTATTGCCTTTTAGCAAATACAACACTACCGCAAACAACGTCAGTAACAACTGAGGTTATGTACTTAATGTTGTTTATGCTATATGCTTAAAGTTATAAAATAATAACTAAATGTTTTTGATTACATTATTATATTGCTTTGGAATGTTTTATAATATATGAGCTAGTCTAATATTTACATATGTAATATATCGCCCACTACATCAGTGACAACTGAGGGTACGTTCTTAACTCATTATTATGTTATATATGACGAAATTTATCAATAAAAACTAAAAAATTCGATTTTCATTGATTTATACCTTTGAGTTATACTATAAGAAATTAGCTACTGTTTGATTTTTTATATATGCAGTGAATCACATTTTGTTTATACATTCAGTACCTACGACACTACCGCCGACAACGTCAGTGACAACTGATTGTATGTTATGAAATCATGAATATGGTTATATTATGCTAAAAGTTATTAATAATAACTGTTTTGAATTTTTTACAATAAATATTAGTTACTGTTTATGAATTATATATACATATTAAATACATTTTTTTATATATTTCTCAGTGCCTACAACACTACCGCCTATAACGTATTTAATTATTTATACATTGTATTTGCTAAAAGTTATCAATAATAACTAACCGTTTCGAACTTTTAAATTGCTATTATACATTTCAAATATGTTCAAAGATAAATTAGCTGCTGTTTAACTTTTACATATGCAGTTAATCACATTTTATAATTCTCAGTGCCTACAACAATACAGTCTACTACATCAGTGACAAATGAGGGTACGTTCTTAATTTATTATTATGTTATATATTATAAATGTTATCGAAAATAGAAAAAGTTACTAATTTCATTGTTTTATGCCTTTTAAGTATGTTATAATCTAGCAACAGTTTAATGGTGTATATGCTTAAATGTATTAATAATAAATAAATGTATTTGATTACACTACTATACGGTGTTGCTTTGAAATTTGTTCAATAAAAACTAAAAGTTTCGATTTTCATTTTCATTACCTTCGACAAAGTCAGTGACAACTGAGGGTACGTTATTAAATCATATATATGTTTATATTATGCTAAAAGTGATTAATAGTATCTAAATATTTTGAAATTCATTATTATATACTTTGAAATGTTTTACAATAAATTAGTTACTGTTTATTAATTACATACGTTCTAACTAAACTTTTTTTTTAAATATTTCTCAGTACCTACAACACTACCGCCGACAACGTCAGTCACAACTGAGGGTACGTACTTATGATTAAGGTTATTAATAATAACTAAATGTTTTTGATTACATTATTATATTGCTATGAAATGTGTTATAATACATGAGCTACTGATTAATATTTTCATATGCAATAAATCCCATTATTTACACTTCTCAGCACCTACAACACTACCACCCACTACATCAGTGACTACTGAGGGTACGTTCTTAACTAATTACTATGTTATATATGCTAAAAGTTACCAAGAAGAACTTAACATTTGATTTTCATTTATTTACGCCTTTGACTTATTTTATAAGAAATCAGCTGTTGTTTAACTGTTCTATAAGCAGTGAATCACATTGTTTATACCTTTCAGTATCTACGACACTATCGCCGACAACGTCAATGACAACTGAGTGTACGTTAATAAATCGAAAATATGTTTATATTATGCTAAAATGTATTAATAATAATTAAATGTTTCGAACTTCATTGTTATATACTTTGAAAGGAATTACCGGTATAAGAAATTAGTTACTGTTTATTATTTACATACGTAGTAAATAATATTTATTCTATACAACCCAGAACCTACAACACTTCTGTCGACAACGTCAGTGACAACTGAGGATACATAATTAATTCATTAATACGTTATATTTCTAAAAGTTATCAATAATAACTAACCGTTTCGAAATTCATTGCTATGTATCTTTCAAATATGTAAAGATAAATTAGTTCAGTACTGATATTTACTTATGCTCAGTAAATCACATTTTTATACTTCTCAGTACCTACAACACTACAGCCCACTACATCAGTGACAACTGAGGGTATGTTGTAAACTCTTTATTACGTTATATACGATAAATGTTATCAAAAATAGAAAAAAAAACTTCATAATTTCATTGTATTATGCCTTTTAAGTACGCTATAATTTAGCAACAGTTTAATATGTTATTTATGCTAAAAGTTATCAATATCAACTAAAAGTTATTGAATGTCATTTTGTTTATACCTGAAAAGTAGGTTAAAATAAATTAGCTACTGTTTAATCTAAACATTACTAGTAATTCGCATGTTTTTATGCTTTTCAGTACCTACAACACTACCGCCGACAACGTCAGTAACAACTGAGGGTATGTAGTTAATGTTGTACATGCTATATGCTTAATGTTGTTAATAATATCTAAATATTTTTTATTACATTTTCATATTGCTTTCAAATGTGTTCTAATACATGAGCTCCAGTTAAAATTTTACATATGCAGTAAAACCCATTGTTACACTTCTCAGCACCTACAACACTATCGCACACTACATCGGTAACAACTGGGTGTACGTTCTTAACTCATTATTATGTTATAAATGTTATCAATAACAACTAAAAATTTCGATTTTCATTGATTTATACCTTTGAGTTATGTTATAAGAAATTATCTACTATTTAATTTTTATATAAGCAGTGAATCACATTTTTTTATACCTTTCAGTACCCACGACTCTACCGCCGACAACGTCCGTGACAACCGAGGGTACGTTATTAACTTATAAATATGCTTATATTATGCTAAAACGTATTAATAATAACTTAATGTTTTGAAGTTCATTGTTATATACTTTGAAATATTTTACAATAAATTAGTTACAGTTTATAATTTACATACATACTAAGTAACTTTTTTTTTATATTTCTCTGGCAGTACCTACAACACTTCCGGCGACGTCTGTGACAACTGAGGGTACGTACTTAATGTTGTATATGCTTAAAATTATAATAACTAAATGTTTTTAATTACATTATTATATTGCTATGAAATGTGTTATAATACATGAGCTACTGTTTAATAATTTCATATGCATTAAATCCCATTATTTACATTTCTCAGCACCTACAACACTACCGCCCACTACGTCAGTGTCAACTGAGGGTACGTTCTTATCTCATTATGATGTTATATATGGTGAAATTTATCAATAAAAACTAAAAATTTTGATTTTCATTGATTTATACCTTTGAGTTATACTATAAGAAATTAGCTACTGTTTGATTTTTTATATACGCAGTGAATCACATTTTGTTTATACATTTCAGTACCTACGACACTACCGCCGACAACGTCAGTGACAACTGATTGTACGTTATGAAAATCATGAATATGGTTATATTATGCTAAAAGTTATAAATAATAACTGTTTTGAATTTTTTACAATAAATATTAGTAACTGTTTATAAATTATATACATATTAACTACATTTTTCTATATATTTCTCAGTACATACAACACTACCGCCGACAACGTCAGTCACAACTGAGGGTACGTACTTATGCTTAAGGTTATTAATAATAACTAAATGTTTTTGATTACATTATTATATTGCTATGAAATGTGTTATAATACATGAGCTACTGATTAATATTTTCATATGCAGTAAATCCCATTATTTACACTTCTCAGCACCTACAACACTACCACCCACTACATCAGTGACTACTGAGGGTACGTTCTTAACTACTTATTATGTTATATATGCTAATAGTTACCAAGAAGAACTTAAAATTTGATTTTCATTTATTTACGCCTTTGACTTATTTTATAAGAAATCAGCTGTTGTTTAATTGTTCTATAAGCAGTGAATCACATTGTTTATACCTTTCAGTATCTACGACACTATCGCCGACAACGTCAATGACAACTGAGGGTACGTTATTAAATCGAAAATATGTTTATATTATGCTAAAATTTATTAATAATAATTAAATGTTCCGAACTTCATTGTTATATACTTTGAAAGGAATTACCGGTATAAGAAATTGGTTACTGTTTATTATTTACATACGTAGTAAATAATATTTATTCTATACAACCCAGAACCTACAACACTTCTGTCGACAACGTCAGTGACAACTGAGGATACATAATCAATTCATTAATACGTTATGGATTGACGCTTTCCAATATTTTCTTACTGCTCACTGTCATAAAGGAACACAATCGCATTTAAACTTTGTTTTGTTTCTTTATTTTCCAAGAAAACCAGGTCAACAGCCAAGATCGAAAAACAACAACAACGACCTTGCGCTCTCGCAAAAAAACTATTATAGCGCCCTCAACATTTCAACTATTGTTTTAATTAAATAATAATTTTTCTTCTATTCATTCTCCCCTTCTTCGACATACTACAGTTTGTCGACATTTCGCATTAATTTTAACATAACATAATTTTCACAATTTTACATCATCATGGTATTTGTTTAACAAGCATAATAATAATAACATTGAATACCTGGTATATATGATTTATGAAGCACCAATAGCATACATGTACAAACACTTTTTAAACTTTGTGAACACTGCTTTTATGAATGGTATATATGAATCCAGTACAATCTAATGAACTATGGCATGAAATACATTACTATGACCTCTAAAATTTCACTGAAATTTGTTCAAACTAGCTTTATGCATTTCTTTTTTACTTTACATTATGGTACATAATATTGATCCCTATTAATTATTACTATCAAATATGTTTACTTTATGTTCCATCGGTGGTTGATAGACATTTTTACAATACCCCTTTTTTTTAAAACTCAACAATTATGAGCATAACACAAACTCAATTACAAGTCCATAGTATCCCCAACTATTTTGTTACCACAGTACAATTTTTATACTACATCTTCCTACACTTGTTCATTCCATGATCTCTAAAGGACATACCTTGTTAATCCCTCTTACTATTTCTCCATTAGCAGTTTTAACCTTAACTACCCTAACATGACCGTCTGGTCCTGGGAAAACTTCTACCACTCTACCTAATGGCCACCGGCCGCGCATAGTTTCCTTCTCGACTACCAAAACAACATCATTTACTTCTATGTCTCGTTTCATCTCCTTCCACTTATTTCTCTTATTCAATGCAGGTAGCCACTCCTTCAACCACCTGTTCCAGAAATTCCTCATCAGCTCTTGAACACGACGCCACCTTTTCCGTGGGCAAAATTTAGTTGTATCCAAGATCTCCTCCGAGGCAAACATTCCACCCATCTGCCCATGCAGGAAGTGATTAGGTGTTAATGGTAAAGCATCTTTCCCTGAAGCAGTTTGGTATGTCAATGGTCGAGAATTCATAATTCCTTCTGCGCCTACAAATGCCGAGTGCAATTCTTCATCAGTGATGTCTGCATTTTTAAGTATTGCATAAATTGCTTTCTTCGCAGACTTTATTAAGCTCTCATGAGCGCCGCCAAAATGAAGAGTCAACGGTGGTATAAACCTCCACTTAATACCTTTTTCCACTGTTGCTGTTTGTATTTTCTTGTGGTCTAACAACTTAATTAATTCTTTTAACTCCCTATTCGCTCCTGCGAAATTTGTCCCATTGTCAGATAAAATCTCTTTTGGCTGGCCTCTCCGACTCACAAAACGATAAAATGCGTTTAGGAATGTATCAG